GCTCGCGCAGCACTAATACAAATACCGGTACTGACACAGCTTCTTAGCAGGCTCGTTCCCGGACCCTGAGGCTCACGCCAGCACCCGACACTCCTGAACACTTGCGGTGGGGCCGGCCTTGTGCTAAGCGTTTGTCGTGCATCCGGCATTCCAGCCTTACAGGCTCCTATGAGATAAATAATCCTGTCGTCTCCACCTTGCGCAGAGGAAACTGAGGCCCAGAGGGGCTAACCACCTCCCGAGGCCGCTGCAGAAAGAGGCGGGGCCAGTCACCGCCCTCACCCGGCTACAGGCCTCACACCGAAGGCAGGCGTTCATACGCAGCCGGGGGCTTCGCAGAGAGCGGGCTATCCCCTGGCGCCTCAGGAGCCCCCAGACGGCTCTGTGGGAAAAGAGTTTCCTGGTCAAGAAAGTTGAGGAAAATGCAGGCGGGAAAGAGGACAGGACCCCGACTCAGTCCGAAGTCCCCCGGCCCGCCCCCTCGCTGTGTACTGCAGGCCATTTCCTGACTTCTGGGGCCTCAGTTTTTTATCTGTGAAATGGGAGCAATGGGCCCTCCTGCCTCACCCAGTGGTTCGGGTTAAATCGGACAGTAGACGTCAGGGCTGAGGCCCGTGTGTGACAGCTAAGCCTGCACCCGTTCTGTTCCTAAACCAGCACTTGCCTGGGAACAGCCAGAGCATATCGAAGGCTCTGAGAATTCCCGCACCGAGGAAACTAGGCCACCCTGGTTCGCGCAGACTTTCCCAAATTAGATTCCCCGGGGAACCCTTACGGTGAACAGAAACGGGTTGCAGTTCATGGACCTGTTCCCCGGAACACACCCTGGGAACCACTTCCTTCCTTAGCTCTGTCGTGTGTGTGTGGGGGGGGGGGGGGGGACACTACCAGAGCAGGGGCATTTCTTCAGCACCACACCCACGCTGGGCCGCCTCCCCAGTGGCCACTGGGCATGGCTGGGGTCAGGGGAGCATGGTCCTCACCCTGGAGGCTGCCCCGTCTGGGAGGGACACGGTGTGGTGTCAGGCTGCACAGAGAGGACAGGGGCCTGTAGGAGCTGGTGTGGGCTGGGCCTCGGAGAAGGTAGGCTCTGGGCTCTGTGTCTGGGGTACGGCTGCTTCCACCCAGCAAAGAGCTGGGAGAGGGTTTCAGCCTGGGGGGCAGAGCCCTGCTCAGGCTGCGCCCTCTTGAGGTCATGGCAGGAACTGCATTTCTTTGAGCCAACCCTAGGGCAATGGCATGCTGCCTGGAAGGTCTGGGGAGAGGAGGTGGCAGTGCAGGTGAAGAAGAGCTAGGTGGTCAGCGGGTTAGTGGACAGAGCTGGCCCTGGGTCTGAGACAGCAGCAAGACAGGTGGGCCAGGGCCGGGGGGCTGCTGTGAAGACAGGCAGGTGGCAGCCGAGTGCCAGGTGCAGGGGTCATCGGAGCAGAGGCAGGCTCCTAGCTAAGAGGTGGGAGCCTGGTGCAGAGCCTTGGCCTCTTGGGGACAAGAGAGCTGTGACATGGGTCCACTCCTGCCCCTGCCCAGCCTTGCCCGCCTGGCTGTCCCGGGAGCCGCCGTCCTGTGTTGCGGGTGGAATTACCGCGTCAGACTCCTGATGGTCACGTGCACTGAGTCCCATGTCTCTTCTGCCGCCCCAGCCTCTGGCCGACGGCTCCTCCAACCCGTCTCTGCACGAAAACTTAAAGCAGGTGGTTCTGCCCAACCAGCCGGTGGAGGCGTCGCCGTGCAGCAGCCTGGGCAGCCTGAGCCAGGCCGAGAAGGACGAGTGCAGCTCCTCGTCCAGCATCCACTCGGCCGCCAGCGACGACAGGTTCCTCCGCCGCACCTTCCTCCGCGTCCACAGCTTCCCCGAGGCCCTGACCTGCGAGAGGTGAGGAGGGCGGAGGGGGACGCGGGCCCATGAGGCATGTCGTTGTCAGAGGAGGAAACGGAGAACGGAGGCCCAGAGAGGTTAAGCAACTCAGCCAGGGACACACAGCCGCCCCGTGTCAGAGTGGGACCCTGTCTCCCTCTGTCACTTGCCATGTGGTATCGACCCACAGAGGAGTTACGGAGTCAGGCTCCAGCCGCGGAGAGACTTCAGGGGACCCTGATGCGTCACCAGCGTGTCTGTGCACATCGCAGCCAGCACCGAGTAGGCGCCTTCCAGAGTGCCTGTGCACGGCATAGCAGCCAGCACTGAGTAGGCGCTTTCCAGAGTGCCTGTGCACGGCATCACAGCCAGCACTGAGTAGGCGCCTTCCAGCGTGCCTGTGCACGGCATAGCAGCCAGCACTGAGTAGGCACCTTCCAGAGTGCCTGTGCACGGCATAGCAGCCAGCACTGAGTGGGCACCTTCCAGAGTGCCTGTGCACGGCATAGCAGCCAGCACTGAGTAGGCGCCTTCCAGAGTGCTGTGCATGGCATAGCAGCCAGCACTGAGTAGGCGCCTTCCAGAGTGCTGTGCATGGCATCGCAGCCAGCACTGAGTGGGCGCCTTCCAGAGTGCCTGTGCACGGCATCGCAGCCAGCACTGAGTAGGCGCCTTCCAGAGTGCCTGTGCACGGCATCGCAGCCAGCACTGAGTAGGCGCCTTCCAGCGTGCCTGTGCATGGCTTAGCAGCCAGCACTGAGTAGGCGCCTTCCGGGTGCTGGGCAGAGTGCTGGGCAGTTTGCTGGGGGTACTTATTGCATGAGCACAAGGATCAGTCCGTCCCGTCCCCTGCCCTGTCTCTTCCGCCAGTAGGAGCCTGGGACCAGTTCAGTGATGGTAACTATTAGTCAACGAACTAATTCCTCCTGCCAACCATATCAGGTGGGGGCAGCTTTGCCCCATTTTATGAAGGAAATGTGCCCCGACCAGGAATCGAACCATGACCTCCCTGTTCATAGGTAGATGCTCAACCTCTGAGCCACATCTGCCGATCAATGATTCTCTCTCATCATTGATGTTTCTACCTCTCTCTCCCTCTCCCTTCCTCTCTGAAATCAATAAAAATATGTATTTACGGAAGTAATAAAAAAAATAAAGTGAGTCTCAGAGAGGCTGAGTGACCTGCCCCAGGTCACACAGCGGATGGTGATGGAACCAGGTTTGACCCCACCACCTTATCTCCAAAGCCCACACTCAAAATCGTCAAACGATCCAGCCTGGAGGAGGGCTCAGCTCGTGGTCAGTGGCCAGAAACTCACTCTGGGGCGGGGTGTGGGGGGGTGTGGGCCGGTCCCCAGGCCTGTCTGCCTGACGTTTGGTGAGCTCGAGGGGCCCTGGACGCGGCCCGGGCTGTGGCATGAGTGGGCTCAGAACCGGAGCTTGGTGAGGACCCCGCAGGTGGCCCACGGCGGGAGGGACGTGGCTGGACGGGAGCCCCTTTCCTCGCGGGGAGAGCTGTGTCTGAGCCTTGGACTTAAGGACGTCTAACCGTCCGGGGCTAGTCATTCAAAAGGCCTTTGCCTGTGTCGGAGAGAAGGTAGAGCCTTTCCCTGCACCCTGCCGCTGACCGGCCCTGTGACCACGACCAACACTGATTTCTCCGGCCCTCGATGTCCTGCGTCAGCGTCCTCGTCTGCACAGTGGGCACGGGATGTCCACGCTGAGCCCTCAGAAAGGCGGCCTGTGATACAGGATGCACGTGCCAGTGTCATTTCTCCCACCTGCCGTCTTCCGGCTTCGTCCTCGATGTCCAGGCCAAGTCCCCTCCGGTCACGAGTGGGTCGCAAAGAGCTCCTGACACTCCGTCTCGTAGACCGTGTGGCTGTTGGGAATCTCCGCGCGCGCACACACTGCGGATGTAAAATCTGGGGGCAGGACCCGCGAGGCTGGTACTGAGCAGGGACGCCCTATCTGTCACCCCCCTCCCCACCTCAGACACTTAAGGTCTCTCTTCCTTCTTGCGACTTTGCAGCGCCGACCTTGACCTTTGCATCTATCACCTCCACTTAAAGGATCTGCTCTAGCTGGACACGGCGCTGAGGCAGGACGAGCACTCGGTAGGTGGCGAGGCGGCACGGCACCCTCAGGGCTCAGGCACCGCGACCGAGCTCTGTGCGCCGGGACCCCCGGGAGGTGGGTGTGGGGAATGGTGGAGCCAGCACCTCGGGAGGGAGAGCGATCTTAGGAAGAGACACCAAGATGGGAAGGCAGCTCCTACCTGTGGGTGGGCGCCGGCTTCACTTTTCCCAGAGAGGGAGGGAGAAAGAGAAAAAGAGAGACCGAGAGAGAAAAGGAAGCAGAGAGAGAGAGAGAGAGAGAGAGAGAGAGAGAGAGAGAAACAGAGAAGCAGGAGGGGGGAAGGAGATTCTGTCGTTTAAACCTTTGTTTCTGTTACGTTCCCTTCTTTGGCAATAGATGTTTATTCAGATTTTTAAAATGTGCCTCCTTGACCTCCTTCCGAGAAAGAAGCCTGATGACGAATTCTACCAGAAGATTCTTTCAAAACAGGAAAATGTAAGTCTTCAATCTGTATTTCCAGGTAACTGGAAAATAGCTTATTACAATACAGTGGGGCCTTGACTTACGAGTGTCCCGACTAACGAGTTTTTCGAGATACGAGCCGTCTCTCGGCCGATTTTTTGCTTTGAGTTGCGAGCTAAAATTCAGGTTACGAGCCAGCTTCAGATACCCCACCGCTAGTTGGCGCAGCGAACGTCACAGTGAACGCCACAACATCAGCCCAGCATCACGTGTCTCACTCGTTCACTTCTTGATTTTACAAGTAATTTGAGTTACGAGCTCCGTCACAGAACGAATTAAACTCGTAAGTCAAGGCCCCACTGTACTAGAGGCCCAGTGCACGGATTCGTGCTCCGATGGGGTCCCTCGGCCTGGCCTGCGGGGATCGGGCTGAAACCGGCTCTCTGACATCCCCTGAGGGGACCCAGATTGCGAGAGAGCAGTTCTCGGGTGACACACCCCAGAATTGGGCTCCCTCCTCTTTGGTTCCTGGTGCGTCACCCAAGAACCACTGCTGCCAAGTCACCACAGCTCGGCAGCTCCTGCATTGAGCATCTGCCCCCTGGTGGTCAGTGTGCATCATAGCTACTGGCTGGTCAGATGGTCACTTAGGCTTTTATATATATAGATACACTTTCAACATAATACAGAGATACAGACATGAGTACAGATGTAAAAACCACAATGTGGACTGAAATGGGAAAAAATATTGGAGGCAGAGAAGTGAGAAGAATGTCGGTCATGTTCTCTGTCCAAGAGAGTCGCTGTGGGCAGGACTTCCTGTTCAGGCTGGGGCGGTTTTAAATATCTGATTTCCCAGGGCTGCAGAAGGAGTGAAAGATGCTGTTTCATTGCTTTCTAAGCCCGGCCTACTTTTTGTGGGGGGTGAGGACTATAGAAGAAAATAATCCATCATTCTCGAGGCTCTACGTTTAAGGGGAAAAATCGATTTCTATCATCAAACCTTAAATAGGACAAAACCCATAGCACTGACGTATGGTTAAGAAATATTACCCGGGGGGAAGAAATAAGTATTCCATGAGAATGTGAAAAACAAAAGCATTTCTTTCTCCAGAACTTAAGACACATCCAACTTGTTCTTTATTTTCTCTCTTTTGCCTTTTGCAGGATTTGGAGGAATTAGAAAAGGGACTTCGGGTCAGACTGTCAGACACGGAGACGCTGGGCGCCGGTGACTCCCAGTACGTCACGCTGGCGGACGTGGAGAAGAAGGAGAGGGAGTACTCCGAGCAGCTGATCGATAACGTAGGTGATGGGCTTGTTCCTGCGTAAAAGCCGGGGTTTCGGGACAGTCCGGCTGGGAGATTAGAGAGTGGATGCGCCTAGAAACGTGTTTAACCCTGGGATTCCCTGCTGGGTCGGCCCCGGAGCCAGGGATCCATCTCTGAATTGAGTGATGGAGAAGGTGTCATTAAGGGCCAGGATTTTCAGAGGGAGGCGTCTTATTGTTATAACCGATTCCTCTGGCTTAAGTTTTAGATTGGCCTTCGTATCATTCAAAGCAGAGGTTGCTCTGACCCTGGGTGGGTGCAGCGGGTGCTGGCTGCCACCTCCTCACCCGCTGGGCATCTCTCCTAAAAGCAGGTTTTAAGTTCCAGAGAGGAGGGCTTCCCTCAGGTGTTTATCTCTGTTTGGCTTTTGGGTTCCATGACCCACTGCTCACGTATTTTGTCTTAAACACACGTTTCCTTGGCGCCCAGGCGCTGTGCTGGCGACAGGGATTCAAATGAACTTAAACCTGGCCCTGCCGGAGAGATGCTCAGGCCAGCGGGGGGCGGGGGGGGCGGTAATTGGGGGGCTATGACAGGTGAGCAGATGAGGACTTCCTGGCTTTCAGGTGTGACCGATGGGGACACAGGATTGCTGAGGCGCAGGGGAGAGAGGAACCGTCTTACCCCCGGTTAGGGAAGTTTTCAGAGAAGAAAGGGCCGCTGAGAGGCTGCCTGGGAGAGGTGTGGTGCTGGCCCGCAGGCGGCAGAGAAAGAGCCAAGGAGCAGGCAGAGGGAGCTGAGCAGAGCCTGGACGAGGGGCCTCCTCTCACCAGGAGGGGGCGTCGCTGAGGGCTGCAGCAGAGGGTGGCTGGGTCCCCTCCTGCTTTGAAGGGCTGCACAGGCTGCTGCGTGGAGGCCAGTGCGAGCTACGGGGCTAGTGCAGTGGGGTTTCATGAAGGCGTGGCAGTGGGTGGAGGGTAAGGAGAAGTGGGAGCCGATAGGATGGGACGTAAGGAGGTGCGGGGGCGGGGCAGGGGGTGCAGAGAACTGTCTACAGACATCAGGACCCACATTGAGAACAGGCTGGGAGGGGATGGTGGGGCGGGTCTGACCAGGCCCAGGGGGAGGACACGTTCTCGAAGGCGGCACACAGGAGGGTCTCAGCCTGGAGTCCGGCAGGGACATGGCGTCCAGGCTGCACAGCTCAGGAGAGGGCGCACAGTCCTCGAAGGTTCTGTGAAGTCCTGGTGACCCACGAAGGAGACGCCCCGGGCCCAGGACCGTGTGGAGGACGGCAGAGAAGCGCCTGGATCCTGCCCACAGCGAGGAGCACGGGCGAAGGGGAATCACGACAAGAAGGCGGAGGGGGGCCTGGAGGGACCAGGAGGAAGTCGTGTCACGGGCGCCCGGGGAAGTCGGAGGTTCATAAGAAGGATGGCCAAGCGTCCTGGCTCCCTGGGTGGAGAGGAAGCCGCAGGCTGGGGGACATGCTCTCTGTCCCGGCAGGAATTCATGGACGGCGGAGAGGTCGTCTGACAGGCGAGGGCACAGCAGGTGTGAGCCTGCAGGGGGCGGGCTGGGTCCGATGGGATGAGCTGCTGATGGGGCGGCGAAGGGTGTGCCGAGCTGCCCGGAGGCCCCGAGATGGGACAGGAAGCTTCTGAAGAGGCGCCAGTGCCTCCGGTGATGTTCTGCCCTGGCCGAGCCCGGCCCTGGCGTCGGCTGGCAGGATTAAGTGAGTCTCAGGTTGTCATTATCTCCACCTTCAGCCATAGCAGCCAGGTCAGTGTGGGCTTCTGGGGCCACTGACCCCTGACCCCTGACCCCTCCCATGCAGGTTTAGCAAGAAGTGTCCCTCTCAGCCTCAGAGACGGGCGCCAAGGAGACGCTCCAGCTGGAGCTGCAGGGACCTGCCCCATGTCCGCTGCCTCTGCCTCTCGCTCGCCCTGGGGCCGGGGCCCATCCCCTGCGCCTGGTTCTCATCCTCGTCCTCCTCCTCGTCCGCTCCAGCTGTACTTTATCCGGAAGGAAACTGCGTGTGCACACAACCTGCACGTCATAAAGCAAAAGATGCTGAGACCCCGGGGTCACTGTCCTCGGTGCTGAGGCCGCAGGGACAGCCCGAACGAAGCCCGGCATTCGCAGCCGCTCGCCGTCCCAGCGCCTCGCCCGACGAGATGGGGCAGGAAAAAGGGTTTCCAGGAGGACGTTCCCACGATCAGCATCGTCTCTGCCGCGTTCTCTCTGGTGCTTTTGGGACGAGAACTGACATTTCAATGGCCGTTCGTGCTGTTACTTCCAGGACACGTTCAATCTCTTTTAAACTCTGGAAGATTCCTAGAGGGCACTGGAATTCACGCACTCCTCCCCCGCCGGCAGGACTCGCCTGCTGGGTGTCTCCGCCTTTAAGCTGGGAGATCCCGGGGTCCACAGCTCACTGCTGTTCGCTACGTGGAACAGGAGGAACCTCTGGAGAGTGTGACGCTGCCGAGGGGAACGTGCCCCGGGGGGTAGAACTGTCCAGAATCTCGGTCTGTGATACGCAGTGATTGCAGTTCCCAAGCCTGACCACATGGCGTTACACTTTCTTAACCAAGTCTCCTCCCCTCCTGCCTCTCCTCCCTCACAGATGGACGCCTTCTGGAGGCAGATGGAGAGCATCCCGCACTGCCTGGTGGACCAGTTCAAGTGTCCCAGCGCCAGAGCGCGCCAGCTGGGGGCGGCCCTGACGACCAGAATGATCGCCGCGGAGGGGCTGCTGCGGGACTCCCAGGACCTGCAGGCGCTGGTAATGCGGGCGGGAGGGGCGGGGGTGGGGGGCAGGAGGGGCACAGAGGGGTTCACACAGAGATGGAATCAGGAAGCTCCACGTGCTGTAGAGATTGTCCAGTCAAACACCTTCGTATTGTGGATGGGGGGAGAGAGCCCAGAGAAAAGCAATGAATTTGTCCTTCCATCATCCATTCAGTCCTTCCATCCAGTCCTTCTTTCTATTCATTCTTCCTTCCTTCCTTCGTTCTTTCCTTTCCTTCCACCCATCCATCCCATCCATCTATCCTTCCATCCCATCCATCTATCCAACCACCCCATCCCACCCTAGGCCCTTCTATTCCCATCCCTTTTCTTTCCCTTTCATCTCCCTTCCCTTCCCCTCCCCTCCTTTCCCTCCCCTTCCCTCCCCTCCCCTCCCTCCCCTCCCTCCCTTCCTTCCCTTCCCTTCTTTCCTTACATTCATTACCGTTCCTTCCTTTCCTTCCCTCCGTCCTGCCCTCCAAGGTGGGAGAGTGTGGGCGAAGCTTCCTGTCCCCAGCAAAAGA